AGGGGAATTGATGCTATTAAATTTTTGTGGTGAGAGGTCTAGAGGGTGGGGAGATAGAAGGGGTCATGTATCTTGAAAGGGTAGGACTTAATGAAGACTATTTGTTATTACCACTATTTATATATATAACTCATCCTTACTTTCAAAATTAAGCATTTTGCCATTTTATAGTAATTAAAAATATAAAAAAATTTTACAACAAAATCTAATAACAGATGGCACAACACGCAATTTTATTTTTCTTTAATTAATATGTTTTTTTTTTTTTTAATAAAAACTCATAACAGGCCGGAAAAGTTACTCAACTCTCGTTGCTAGATGTTTTGTTTTAATTTATATTGTATTTAACGTATAATGTAATGTATTTTTAATTTTATATAATTGTCGTCTTTGTTTTGATGTATATTTGTTAATTTTGGGGTAGATGTCATCCGTCCTTCGAGACTTTCCTATTTACTTGTAAAAATAAATTAATAAATAAGGTGTGTAATGTGTATAAATATGTTTGTTANTACAAGGAAACTGCCAAACGAGTTATAAATAATAAATTAAAACAATCGGATATTTATATATTTTTTTGTGGCTCAATCTTTTCCAACAAATTTAAATGAAAACTTTCAGATTAATATTCTACATGAAATAATTATATGTATTTTATAAATCATACAAATAATACACGCAAATTTTTAATTTCGTTATATTACAAATATTTTAAAGTAATTAAATATTTATAAAATTATATTCATATAAAAATATAAAGAATATCACTTATTTTATATTTTTATGCATTATTTCTATATTGGTTAAACACAGATTTAGTCATTACAAAAAATATTTTCAACGCGGAAAATAAAAAATGAACAGAATACGACGTAAAGTTTTCTTAGAAAAAGTTTATATATTTATATAAATGTATAAATTTATGTACTTTTTACTGTATTTAATTATATAATTTGCATGCTTTTAACATGCGTTTAATACAATGTTTGAAAATTAAATATTAGTTACAAAACTAACAAACGTACTAGAAAATAACGTATTCGTATACACACTATTTGGTACAACTATTTATTTTTTACTGTTGTAAATTATTGAGAATTGCAATTTTAAAAACATTTTCTAAGTTATCAGCTAATTTTCGGAATTAATTAATTCTCAATCACTGAGGTATTCGATTTATTTTAATATTCATTAAAATCGAAGTTGAACATACATAAAAACTAGTTTATGGGAAACAGCTGACAAGTTGAAAGACGACCCATTTGGATTTGATTCAAAAATATCTGCTGTAAGCAATTAAACTTACGTTCGTTTCTCGTTTATTTTTCTACTATAATAAGAAAGAGAGTTTTATAACATTTTCAATGCGTATTTTATAATAACTTAAGTTTGATGAGTTTACTTCATTATTAGAGAAAGCAAGAAATGTAGATAATATTTCAACTATAAATTGTAAAATTTAAACTGATCTTATCGTAAAAAATATGCTATTGGCATTCACTCCATTCCACGATTATTTATTACAGACGTTCATTAATAACACACTTATAAATATCGAATACTAAACACAATTCCTCGCTTTTCATTTTCACCTTGCGTTTGTAAGTATCATGCAATTTATTATTTCCAGCTAGTAAATTAAGTTAGCCGTTTGAGTATTATTTCGTGATACTAGAATCGAATTTTTTTCTGTTTATAATATAATTTATAAAATTTTTACATTGAGATTTATTTTTAATAATTACCTTTTATATTACGAGCAGCTTAATATAATTGTTTTAGTGATGTGAGCATAAAACAAGCGGACAATGCGATTTAACAAGGTTTATCAGAACAGATATTGGTAATACAGATTCGTGTTTGTAGTTTGTTTTGTTTGTTAACGATTTGTGTTTGTAGTTTTTTTAATACGTAGTTTTTTCATTAAGTTCGAAATTCTTAAAATACGTAGCAAAAAATTACTAAGAAAAAGTGAGGATTCAATTCTTTTTGAGAGATGAGACGAGGCAAAAAGCGAAATGTGTACAGAATTAACCGAGGAAGACCTCTTCTCAGTGTGATATATCGTCATGAAACTCTTGTTTGGAATTTTCTCTATTTAGAAAAACTGGCCGACGTTATTGTTTTTGTAAGACTTAGAAAATAGTAAAGAATAAAATTTAGTTTTACTGTAAATGGTTCGGTTCGCTTGGCTTTTATCACCTGTTTCCTGTGTAAAATATTTACAACGAAACTTTCGTGACCATCGTAACGAGGAACTTTCTGATCACGTGTTCTGCTACATAGGCTCGAATACACAAAGCGCAGTTTAGTTCCTATTCATATTTTTATATAAATACGTGTAAATTCAAAAGAGATTGGTTTTTTAATAATGTTTAGAATAAAAAAAATAGTTCGTAATAAAATTTTTACTGATTATAATGACATACGTTATATAAAGAAAATTTTGTGATTATTTACTTTTTCATATTTTCATTAATATTTTATATTCAATTTATAAGTTTTAAATTATAAAGCGTTTGCCTATTTAATAATGATTTTTTTCTGTTTTGGACAGAACTTTCGTTTTAAGATCCAGGCGATATTATCTCCTGAAGAACTTTTTATCGTCGAATAATAATAAATAAGACTTTTGTACAGAACTTTATTTAGTAAGTATTATAATTATTTTTCAAATATTTTGATATATGTCAAAATTCTAAATACAAAGAAGTGAAATTTCAGCATTTACCTGTAAAGTCTGTGATTTACTGCACTGATGGAGACAAAATGAGCAATTATTTCTCATGTTAAAAAATTTTAATATTTTCAAAGTAATAATTGAACGAATGTGTTGAATAACCAACGGCTCTTTTAGGGTAGCGACGTGTTAAGTGTAAAGAAAATATTTTTTCAAAGTTTGTTTATGTTAGGGGCTAGCCGGCGTAAGGAGTCAGAAGTGTACTCTTTACTAATTCAGTCGTAGAGACTGGCCCGCGAAGTCGAAAAGTGGTTTCCTAAAAAGTTTATCGATAAACAGGAGTTCGTAAGAGACCTCTGGAACTTGTTTTTCTTGACACTAACCTAGATACAGCGTTAGGCACGCTTATGTCTAATTTTTAGAGGAATATCGAGTGGGTGAAACGTAAATAAGTGGAACGGACGTCGGCTTGGATTTGAGATAGAGATGAAACCATATTAAACAAACAACAAGGAATTAGTAAAAGAAAAAATTAAACTGATAAATACAATAAAATACAAAATAATATAACTAAATATTGCATCTATACTGGAGAGTGTTAAAACTATAATAAAATACTATAATATGTTTACAAAAGATATTATATTATATTATATTACCTCTGTGATAACTTGATTTATGCGAATTATACTCTTCGGCATAAGTTACTTGTATGTGGAACTATGGCACTTAGTTAAACAAGGACATACCGATGTGCTGAGGGGTTGAAGTGCCCTGAGTTTAGCACGTATCTTCTACTTATTCTTTATTTTTTGCAGATCTCTTTTAATGGAGATCGAGCTTAATAATCATCTGACTGAGTGGCATGATGAGGGCTTTGGGTTTAGTCAGACATTTATTAATGAGAGATAAAGATCTCCCAGAAACTAACTGCCAACACAAGATACATTTGTATGTTGTTTTCTTTGATTTTTAGCTTTAATAAAAATTTATCGAAATATAAAATTTCATTTTAATTGAATTTTCTATTTTTCTTTCTTAGACTGTGTTTGCGCAATTTCCCCGTTTGTGAGCAGAATACCCGAACACGATAAAGAATCATATATCTAGCTTTTCCTACGCGGTTCTTTCTTAAATAAAGGTGAAGGAAATTCGAAATTTCAGTGTGTGAAAATTCGGAATATAAAATTTCATTTTAAAATTTAAGCATTCTCTAAACTGATTCTGTAAAAATTAATCTGTACTTTAGAAATGAATTACTTCTGAAACTGACTGCAGTAACTAATCAGATTGCTTGAACCATGCTAAATACAAGGTTGGCAAGGTAAATCCAGAATTTCTTTGTGGGCAATCTAAGCAGTCTTGGAGATAATGCTGTTGACAAAAGTACACAAGTGTCAAGTCAATCAAGAAAAAAGTGCAGCACTGAACAGTCAACAACTGGAATCTGCTCAGATATGTCGCAAGAATACGACTGAAGAGCTACTATACTGGAATTGCTTTGTGCCAGAAAGTCACCTCACAAATTATGGAATGGTTTGGCTACAAGATGATGCAAGTTTACAACATAGACAAGTTGTTCAGGGAATCCAACAACAAGGAGAATGTGACATCTAATAGGGAATTCACAGTAGCATTCTGATCACAAAAGAAATGCAGAATTCATAGCCAAATTGAAGGAGATGATCAATCAGAATAGTGTGTGGACTATGTATGACTTTGTAAAAGAAATGGGTGTGGCAAGGTCAATGATCAGTCTGGCAGTGCACAAGAACCTACAATGCCATTCTTCAGTCCTCAGGAACTGCTAGCTTGACTGAGAAGAACAAGTACAGAAAACTGAAAGCTCAGGCTCTGGTTCTGACTTGTGGTCCCTGTCCAGCTCCAATTGCAATCCCCTTGATTACTATATGTGGGGAATGGTTGAGGCAAAGGTAAATGCAAAGCATCACAATACCATGGATGCTATAAAGGCTTACAACACAAAAGTGATGACAAACATGGACAAAGAACAGGTCAAGTGCACCTGCAGCCATTTCAGGTCAAGACTGGAAAAGATTGTGAAAGCTGACAGAGGCTATATAGAATAATTTCATTCTGTATGTTGTGTACTACTTTTTGTACAAATTTTCATAAGAATACATTGATTTTTCCCTCTATTTTTAATTGTTTTTCATTATATAGTGACTTTTCAGATTTACCTCAATGACCCTGTATTATTAAATAATTAAAATTTTTTAATAAAAATCATAGGATATATTAAATTAAAATTTATTAAAATAAGATCATCCTGAATCTAAATAAAAGTAAAATTTTACAATATATTTTTCAAATTTAACATAGTACGATCTATTATCATTATATAAACAATCAACATCTTAATTTAATTAATAATAATTTTAGTTCTATTATTATTTTATTATTATTTAGATTTTCCATCTTGAATAAACTCTTTAGACATAGTTACACCAGCCTGTATACCACTGCAAATGGTTGTTGGTAATTGAGCTAATGCTGAGAAGCAATACTTTACACCTGTTTAAATAAAAAAAAAACTTATTTCAAATAAATAATTGTTTAATTCTACAAAATAAAAAAGTAAGTAAGCAAATATATGATAGTCACTAAGTATTGTCTTCCATAACTAGGAATATTTTTTTCATTAAGAGGAAATAAAAACTAACTAGAAGACAAAGTAACTTAAGTAGCCTACATAACATGTTTAATAAAAATCAAATTTTTTTCACTTATTTATAGTAAAAACAAATTATAGATCTTAAGCTTATATAAAAATTAAAATGAAATATTAAATAAAATGACAATTTTTTTCAGATTTCTAATATTAGTCTCACATTTTCATATATGCTTCTTTTTATTCAATGTTTTTTTATTAACTTTAAACAAACTTTTTATAAAAGCATAAAGCACTATTAATATCAATTTTTGTATTTCCTATATTCTGCTGTATGTTATATTATGTTATTCAAATTTTCTTAGTTCATTAATTAGGTTTGCCAACTGTTCAGAATTTTATGAACTGTATGGAATTTCAGTTATTTTTTAAATTGTTTGGAAATGTTCTGATAAATAAATGAGCTGTTTTTTTAATTTTTCCCTTTTTCTTCATGAGAAATTGTCATTCCTAACTGTAATCCAAATTATTTTCATTTCTGCTTTGTTGGTTCTTTTTTCAATTTTCTCTCTTTTCACTGTGTAAGCACTAAAAATACTTATTTTAATCATAGCTATTGTTGGTTTAGCAAAACCTATACGGGAAGCTACAGGATAGTGACAGATAGAACCTGATATATCTGGGAAAAACCTCCATGAAAAATTTCTGGGTTGTTCACTTGGATTTGATCCCAGCTCCTCCAGTTGTAAGATAATGCCTTAACTACCTTAGCCATCTAGTTATTTCACACCATCATAATTATCAAGGGAAGGAAAATGTTCACAAATTTGTTTGTATCAGAGATTTTCTTTCACTCATCACTTTTTACACATTGTGTTTTTTTCATACTGTTTGAAATATTAGCCATAAGTACAATTCCTACTCAAAGACACTAAGACTTTTTTCCAGGACTTTTTAGTGCCCTGAGGACAAACTAATCATTTATCATCATTTAGAATATTAATTTATGTAAAACACCCAAACTCCAGCAGTAATTTTAAATATTAAGACGAGAATGAACATTTTCGAAGATGAAGCCTTTATCTTCAGGTTCTGAAGTCTCAAACATAGAACATTTGTGAGGAATGTATGATGATGATCTTAGCAAACATTTGCTAAGATCATCATACATTCCTCACAAATTAATTTCTAAAAATAGAAAATCACATGTTGGATTGTTTAAAATTTAGCACTTACATGTTACAATTGGTCATTTAGTGCTAATGATGTGTCTGTTCTTGTGTGATTTTTTTTTTTGTATCTGGTATAAGGACCTCCATGCCTGGACCAGTGAGTTGCTGTCTTTATAGTCGATGGCTGTTTCCTCCATTGCCACCTTGTAAATTTCTATTTTTTCCAGGTGCCATATTTGCACTTTGTTACTTGAATAGTGTAAAAGTTTGGCTTGATCCAAATGTGCATCTTCCTCTAAGGCTAGAATAAATAAAGCAGTGATTTTTTGTTGCTTTTTTTTTTTATCAATGTTGTGTGCTCTTGGAAGCATTGATGCNAGTTTTCATTTGAGTTTTAGCCAATTTTTAACTTCTCAATTTCAGATGCCATTCTTTATAAACAATAGATTATAAGCATGACAGCTCACAGAATTAGCATTTCGTAACTATGAAGGGTATCAAATCAATGAGATTGCTGAACTCCTAAAATATTCCAAAGTAAAAGTTTGGCTTGATCCAAATGTGCATCTTCCTCTAAGGCTAGAATAAATAAAGCAGTGATTTTTTGTTGCTTTTTTTTTTATCAATGTTGTGTGCTCTTGGAAGCATTGATGCATAGATAGGTCTTGTAGTGGTCCCTATATACTGTAACTGCTTTCCTATTCTGTTATCCATTATCAGTACTGCGTATACTCCCAGAAGATTGCATCTGTTGATAATATCTTTGTTGTTGCAGAGTAACCTATAGATCTTTGGGATTCTCTTATATACCTCCATTTTCAGGTTCTGAAGTCTTTTGAACCCTGGAGGCATAAGATCTCCAAAAATGTTCATTCTAGTCTTAATATTTAATGTCACTCTGGAGTTTGGATGTTTTATGTAAGTTGATTGTTTCTCCAGTTAAATAATAGTTGTTTATAAACTTAGAATAATAATTTATTCAGAATGCTAATATTAACATTAAGATCCACATCAGTATTTAATTTATCAAAATTGATTATGTTATAAATTGCATAATTAATGTTAATTTATAAACATTGATAAAATGAAACTCTCTCTCTCTACCTTGTAAAAATTAAAAACTACTATAAAAAATATATATTATATAAATAAAATATACCTGAATTCCAATATTCTACAGTTTTCTGACTGAATTCATTCTTTTTAAAAAGCTGAAATTATAAAATTTAATTTAGTAATTATATAATTATAGATTAAATAAGATTAATAATAATAATAATAATATTAACATTATCTCTATTTCAATGTGAAAGTATGGAAATTTTTAAATATTGGTGTAGACCAGGGCTTCTTAAACTATGGGTCGCTTAGCGAAATCTTGGGGTCGCGAGATTTTAATGCAAAATATTGAAAATAATTTGCGAGAGTTTGAAAATGGCACGCTTTGTTTCATAGGTTTAATGAGTTGCGCTTTGTGTCACTTCTGGTGCAGCGAGACAACAATTCAGCAACACTGTAGTGTGAACTAATGTAGTGTTGTTGCTATTCAGTTGTCTCTGTTCCATTGTAACACAAGAGTGAACTTGGTAGTACACCATTATTGTTTTTGCAAATTCGTATATATATCTTTATTTTATATTTTTTTTGGGTCGCGAAAAAAATCAAAATCATAAATGGGGTCGTGAATAAAAAAAGTTTAAGAAGCCCTGGTGTAGACATCATACCATGTCTACATAATACACATTAATGATACACATAATACACATTAATGATAAATCTATAGTAATTCAATTGGTTATACTGAACATATACTGAAAAGTGCTCCAAATAGGCAACAGTATTATGATAACAAGGATCATTTAGATCAAGTGTGCAAAACTCATTTAAACAACAGGCCATTTTGCAACTGGTAAGATTCATGTGGGCCACATGACATTTACGAATGTTCTTAAAATTATAATTTGAAGTTAGAATGCAAGAATATAGATAGGGCAATTAAAACACATTAAGTAGTTCAGTGAATTCAACTCGAATTCACTGAACTACGTAAGTCTTGTCTGTTTCCAACTAACTTTCTTATGCAGCAAGAGAGAGTCTTCAAAGGTACAAATAGGCCTTACCTTGGACCCCTATCTTTACGCATCTGCAGAATCTTTAAGCAGCGCAACCTTGTACTACCCACTTCCAAGCCTACGCAAACTTATTTGTAATGATAGAGACAAATTTTCCACTCTTGAGAAATCAGGGGTCTATGCTGTACCTTTGGAAAATTAGGCAATGAGAGTAAACACAAGGTATATTGGGGCCACCACTAGAATGCTTTCCAGCCGCCTTGATGAGCATCAAGACGATGTTAGGAGGAGAAGACACACCACCGAGCTCGCAAGGAAGGTACTTGAGCAGGGCTACAACCCGCTATAGTCCCAAGTGGTTATGCTCAAGAGCTGCAAGGATCGAAAAACTGTTTTTATATGGGAATCTCTCCTCACTACCACCTTGGACACTTGCAACACCCCTACGATCGAGCTGCCTAGTGTATGGGTCACACTGTATAAGCGTTTAAGTGAGTATTAGCAGTCTCTAGTATGCATGTAGCGTGAGCATGGCTCCGTGCATGCGCCAGCTCGCACTTCACGGAGCTATCTGCTCATTCGGTTTTCGAATTATGTTTAAATATTTACTTCGTGTTCTTAACGGCTTTAACATAATTTCAGCTTATCTTATGTGTTATATTCTGCATTCGATTATTTTTGTTTAAAATTTTTTGGTAAATATCTGTATTCGCCTGAGGACGACGACAATAAGTTCACTGAAAGTGCTAGCGATAAAAAAACGCATGTAACGCTGAACTCAGTGTCTTTGTTTTTGTTATTATATATTAATTTGGCGTGTTAGTCATCCTATTGATTACAAAGACTGAGAACAATCTTCATTATGGCAGATAAACGTTTATCAGTTAATCTTGGTCTGTAAGCTGTTTTATTTAATTTCAGAGCATTGTGCCGTGAGCCACAAAAAGTCACATCGAGGGCTTCATGTGGCATGCAGGGCGTCAGTTTGACACCCCTGATTTAGATAGTCCATCTTATTTAACATATTGTGTGCTTGTAATCTGGATAATTACTAAATATTTTATCAGTTGTTTTCACTTATTAGCAAAATAATTGATGATCTCTTAGATGAATGAGAAGACTCAATACTCTTAAGAAAACACAGTGAGGATTAGTTTTACACAACTGAGTGATTCTTTACTACACACAAATAAATTGTTAGGATCTAACACCAGTTGGTTGTACTGTACTGTAATCTGATAGAATCTATAGTCACAAATGTGGAACTGTGAGGATTATGCAGGTAAAAGGATGGAAGTAGGAACATTCTATATTATTATAAGGAGAGAGAACAGAAATTATAGTTTTGTGCATGTACAATAATTTAGATTTTGTGGTTGGTAAATTTTACATATCTGTTGATAGAGAGAATTGATGCTGATCAGAAATAAGAGAATTAAGTGGACAAAGCACTAGCATAGCCAATTAGCCAATGTCAATGATCAGGATGAAAAAAGGAAAAAAGACTCATCATTCTGGATGTCCCTCAGTTTTCATTTGAGTTTTAGCCAATTTTTAACTTCTCAATTTCAGATGCCATTCTTTATAAACAATAGATTATAAGCATGACAGCTCACAGAATTAGCATTTCGTAACTATGAAGGGTATCAAATCAATGAGATTGCTGAACTCCTAAAATATTCCAAAGGAAGCCTTCTAACAATGGCAAGATTGATGAGGCATTGCACGCATGTTGATGAGGCATGTGTGTGTGTATATTGAAGGGTCCTATTTTGAAGATGATACCATTACAGTACTATACAGTGAGACCACCATATCTGTGGTCTCAGCAGCCTTGGTTAACTTGGTTCTATGTAAATATACAAGATAAAGAACAAGAGCTAAAATATATCAGATCTTTAGGGCACCAATTTGAATTTAAACTGAAAAATATTGAAGTGTTTATCAAGAAATGCACAATAAAAAGAAAGTAAAACAAACACAAGATGCACTAGCAGAATACACAATGATGGAGTATAGAGCTCCCCTTGCTAAATGTACAAGGAAATAGGTTGAACAACAGGAAAAAGAATAATCTTCAAAAGAAATCCAACAGTTTACAGGCTACTCCAGAAGGACAAACAGCCCATTGGCGCAACACATGTACCAGGGATTTACAAAATACCCCTAAAAGACAGCAGAGTAAAGCAAGACTTATGTTATGATGGAACTACTAATAGATCATTAGCAGCAAGAATTAGAGCATAAAGACATCATCAGTAAAGCCAACCCTAACACAGTACTCACAACATATGTGCTTGCTGATCCTATCTCCATCTCAGTGGCACAGAACCAAGCTAAAATAATACAGAAAACACAGAAGAGGCAGATAAAACACTCTGAAGCATGGCAAATTTATAAAGTAACTCAAAATGGGCAACAATCAATTGTAGAGAATACAATTCAATATCAAGAGCACTACTAATAGGGGGATATAAGATTTATTTATTTACTCATTCATATTTATCAAGTTTAATTTTAGTTTTACACATATATTTATTTATAGTAAGTTGATACTATTTCATAGTTTTTATTGTATTTATTTTATTTTACTGTGAATTTTTGATAGTTATTGTATTTTTATATGAATAACAGACATTTGGAATTCACATTTGAATTTGTATAATTACATTCTAGTATGTTAATTTTCAAATTGAGTTAATAAGTTCTATGCTGACAGTGTTGTTCTATATTTAGAATGTATTCTTCTTTGAAAGTCATTAATTTTAAAAACGATTGAAAACGTTAAAATATAATTAAAAGTATACTGCATTTAAAGGTATCAGTATGAAATTAGTAGTATTATTTAAGTGCAATTTTTTCGAAGCGGTGCAAATCTTTTTGTTTTATTATTACCTCAAGCTTATACGAATTAATTCCTGGTATCATTTCATAATAACTTTGCAGAACTTGTAATGTTTTTGCTGAAGTTTTGTTGTCTGACCATATTCCTTGATCTACTGTAACATAAACTGCTCCACTTGCAATTCCTAATTTCAGTATATTCCTAATTTTAAAAAAATGTTTTTTCAATTATATCATTATAAAATTAATTTTTAAACTAACTATTTTAATTATTAAAAAAAATTAATTAATATTAAAATAATTAAAATCGAAATAAAATAAATTTAAAAACTAATAATAAAGTAAACAATTTTGTAATGTACAAATAATTCTTAATAAAAAAAATAGTACAAAGTCAACATCATTTTTCATAAAATTAACAATAATATAAATCTGAAACATATTATATTACTTTCCTGAATATCAAAAACAGTTATAAAACTTGGCATTATTATAAATGAATAAATCCTGCTAATTTCAGGAAGCCAACTTTTTATTAATAATAATATTGCCACTCCTTGTCTACATGAATTTTAGATGCAGACACAAATGTATTATGGAATAAACGTCCATTAGTTAAAGAATAGGATAATTATACACCAATGAGAATTTTACATATCTATGTTTTAGGGCAACATTGTACTATTATTAATGTACAGGATTCATATGAAATTGGGAAAGCTTGGATATGGTTAATGAATTTCACCAATTTCTCTTCTTTCTGCAAGAAGTTAATAGCAAAATTTGCCTAATTATATTTTTACAAAATTTTTATTTTAAATGATAACAGTTTAAGCTTATCTATCAGTTAATATTCAATCCTGAGGATGACTACCCAAACAGATTAAAACATTTGATTAATAAAATTTGTCTTGGAAGAAATTTAAATTGTCATAATTTATTTGATTCATCAGTTTAAGAGATTTCTATGATCTATTTTACTTTAAATGTATATTTATTTATTTGAATTCAGGGTTATTTTATTGTGTTTTACTTCACACTTATTTACATATTTTATTGTATTTGTTTCAAATCCAAAACTGTCAGAATATTAATTTTGAATTTGTTCCAATTTTATGTTATACTATTTTCTAAACCAGTGTTTCTCAACCTCTAATAAATCGTCGCCCCCTTCAATAAAACCGTTACATAGTATCGCCCCCTTCACTTCAAAATTCCGATGCCAAGGGCCAAGGCTAATGCCAAATTCACACTGCATTGAATAGACTCATGACTAGTATAATGTTATTTGTTTAACTATTGTACGATATAACGAATAAAATATCTAATTATTCTTAATATAATGTTTTACTATATCCTCCAGAAAATTGTTTTTTGCCCCCCCAAAATATAAATTGTTACTAATTGCCCCCTCAACATGGAAAAACGCCCACATGGGGGCAATATCGCCCCCGTTGAGAAACACTGGTCTAAACCAATCTCTGCATGTTGTTTCCGACAGAGCATGGTCGCCGTAAGTCTCAACAAGAATTCTGTGTGCTTCAGCTGAAGATTTTTTTTGAATAAAATAGTGCAATAAAATTTCCTGCAAATACTCTTTTTTTGGCTCAAAACTCTTGACATGTTTAACACTATGAAAATAAAAAGTTGTTTACACTTTGGCAAAATGACATACACTGAATTTCAAGCTTGCTTATGTTACTTCGTTACAGATGTGCCACCATCTTAAACTACATGCGCACAGTTCTGGTAATGCTATCTGTTGGAAAACAGCGAGAACTTATTCAAGGTCCCAATAACTATAAACTAAATTCAAAAATAAGACTAAATCTAGCTTAAAAAAGACTAAAATAACAAAATACATGAATGCAATAGGAATGCATAGAGGTGAACACTCATCTTTTATTTGGCATAAGAATTGGGAAATAGCAAATACCAAACATTTGTCATGAGTAGACTGTGCACACTACTCAGTATTCATCATATGTTTGTTCTGAATGTGTAGACATACCCTTAGATAAGGTGACCATATATCCCTGATTTTGCCTGTTTTCAATATTTGATTATAAAATTAATCTTTGAATAGAGCAATTTTATTAACACACCAATTAATAAATAAATTTAAAAAATAAACAAAGTTCAATCAGTTTCAGACCCCATTTTCATAATTTTGAAATGTGTCCCTGGTTGGATCGTAAATGATGTGGTCATCTTTCTGCCTTTTTGAAAGTTTCTAAACATTTATCTTTTTGAACTGATTTAGAGTAAGTTTACTTTCAAAAATGCTAAGAATCACAGAATTGTGTAAAATTATGAATTTTCATTTTCAGCACAGACTATTGATTTAAATGTTTGTTAATTTAGGCAAATGAAAGAAAACTCTATTTTTTGCATGATTGTTTAGATTGAGAAACTGAATTAGCTGTTCTCCACATAATTGCTGAGTGCAAATTATTAAATAATACTTAGTTTTAGCTACATTTTAAGATTTTTTGAATTCCTATGCACTGATGTATAATAACTATTTGGTAAATGATATTATAGCAGAATATTTTCATTTTTATAAGTAATTTAAGTTGCAGACATTCGTAAACTTTTATTTACTATGTACTGTTATAATATTCTGATGTACCAATAGTGAAAGTTATTTAAAATTATATTTTTTAATAGATAACCATTTTGCATTTATGTTATGTTCATAACATAAATGCAATAACAATAACAAAAAAATGTTCATCATAGATATATCTTATTTTGAAATTTTTATTTACAGATCTGGTTTTACTATCCTAGAACTAAATGCTGTACCTGCTGGTACATATAATATTATACCTTGCACATACATGCCTAATCAGAAAGGTCCTTTCTTTTTGACCATACAGTCAACGTGCCCATTCAAAATATCTAAACTCCAATGATGAAAATTGTTACATAATTGAAGATTTGGTGCCTTTCATATTGTATATTATGAAAGTATTGTTAAACATTTTTTATATAAGGAATATGAGATGCAATTACGACATTGAATCCTAATTTATTATTTATTTTAAAATTCTTAAGGATTTCTTTTTGTGATCAAATTTGAAATTTTGTTAAATTTGAGACTGAATTAAAAAAAATATATTTTTTAAAATAATGTATAAATAACTTCACTGCTTGAGAATGCAAATTATAGTCACATATTTTTTTATAAATACAAAAAAAAAATAGTATACTTCATATAGTTTGTGATTATTACAACAAGTGTATGAGGTATTTGTTAATTTTATATAGCATCATGTTACAATGTACTACTAATTCAATTTTATTGTATTTATAAAAACTGATTCTTGTTAATAACAGTGTTGTTATAATAATCATTTATAGTGAAATAATAAATGTTATGAGTAAATTTAATAGCACAATAGACAATTTTAAGATAAAGTTACCTGAATGGAATCACAATAATGCAAACTTCATAGCTTAAACCACAAGTTGAGATATATTGTCCAATAAAAATTTCCAGTTCTTCTCTACATTCACAGAAAATTTCTCTATCACAATAAAAGCCATCAGTGTTGAAAATAATTATTGAATGTTAGCTGTAAAAAAATTAATTTTAAATAATGTTATACATGTAAAGTAAGTTAAGTCCTTTAATTTTATAAATTTTAAACAAATTAAAATGAAGAAAAACTTCTTTTATGTATATTAAACTTACTCAATAATCTTTATATTGTTGAGAAATTGAAATAAATATATTTATTTCAAAGTTACAGTTGTTATTTATTTTGTATTAAGCTTAGTTTAAACTTCAGTTTATAGTTTTTTAAATGCAGTATAGCTTTCCTTTTAACTTATGGAATGTTATGAAGGAAGAAAAGAATTCATAAAATTTAGTACAGTGGCGTGTAATTCCTAGAAAATTTTTTTGGCATTGTTTATCTCACTGGATAAAAGTTAAAGATAAAACTTGCAAAAATTTTCAGTCAAAGAATGAAAAATATCTATGAATAAATATACAAAAAAATGAAATTAATGAAACATTTGTTTGGTATATTTTTATTCTTAAAACCCAATCTTATATCTCTTGCTTCCTTTAGGCTTACGAAATACGTTATATCTCGGAACTTGCTTTGGTTCCATTCAGTTGTACAATGTACAAAATCTGAGTCAGATTAGTGAGAAAGATAATTTTCTTAAATTATGTGTATAACATTCATGTCAACTGTGCATCAATCCTAAAATATAGTTCTGTGTACTACAGTATACGCGATTCCTGTTGAACATGTGATTGACCTTTATATATATATATATATATTTATTTATTTATTTACTTATTATATATACAGGCCTCAGAGTGCCATTTTCCCTCCGAGAAAGGCGAGTTGAAATACAGAATCAGTGAGTAAAAAGTGAGTGCAATAGTGACAAAACAAAAACCTGTCTATAACAGAATCCTAAGGGACCGGATAACTCTTCCGTAGTAGACAGTTTTCCGCTATATATAGGTTACCTACTATATGTATCCCTTAATGCGATTAACAAATTTCTCGATATTACCGCGTATATCAAATTCGCGTTAATCAAACTGTGATACCTCGGTACTCGACCTAACAGTCACCATCCGCTAGAACAAATTTTCGGTTAATAATAAATGTTTTATTTTAATATTAATTTTTCCATTCATTCGTAAAAAGTTCTCTTAAATAAAAATTAGTAACCAATTCAAAAATAAGACTTTATAGCTGCCAACCTTCGCCAGACAAAATTATACTCAATTCAGTTCGTTTTATTCATAAGTGGAAAAAAACAGCGTGCGGAACAAAATCATAATGTTTTACAGCCATTTCAAGAGGATGAACTGTTTCAACAATACGTGTCTTTGACACACTAAGATTTTTTGCAAATTTACGAATTGTTATTCGCAGAGCTGTAGAGTCGGTAAATATTTACACGACTCCGACTCGGGGCGGCGAACTTGTTAACAAAATAGGCCCGAAAATTCTGACGTCATCACGCTACCTCAGAATAAAAGCTTCAATAAATGGATATTTATAGAAAACATATTTTCTTATGACTATACATACATAGATGAGTCGAAATTTATTTATTGTCCTTCACACGGCGTGTGAAGGACAATAAATGAATTTCGACTCATCTACGTATAGTCATAAGAAAACGTTTTCTANCTTGAGATATTTATATTTAGAATGTATTCTTCTTTGAAAGTCATTAATTTTAAAAACGATTGAAAACGTTAAAATATAATTAAAAGTATACTGCATTTAAAGGTATCAGTATGAAATTAGTAGTATTATTTAAGTGCAATTTTTTCGAAGCGGTGCAAATCTTTTTGTTTTATTATTACCTCAAGCTTATACGAATTAATTCCTGGTATCATTTCATAATAACTTTGCAGAACTTGTAATGTTTTTGCTGAAGTTTTGTTGTCTGACCATATTCCTTGATCTACTGTAACATAAACTGCTCCACTTGCAATTCCTAATTTCAGTATATTCCTAATTTTAAAAAAATGTTTTTTCAATTATATCATTATAAAATTAATTTTTAAACTAACTATTTTAATTATTAAAAAAAATTAATTAATATTAAAATAATTAAAATCGAAATAAAATAAATTTAAAAACTAATAATAAAGTAAACAATTTTGTAATGTACAAATAATTCTTAATAAAAAAAATAGTACAAAGTCAACATCATTTTTCATAAAATTAACAATAATATAAATCTGAAACATATTATATTACTTTCCTGAATATCAAAAACAGTTATAAAACTTGGCATTATTATAAATGAATAAATCCTGCTAATTTCAGGAAGCCAACTTTTTATTAATAATAATATTGCCACTCCTTGTCTACATGAATTTTAGATGCAGACACAAATGTATTATGGAATAAACGTCCATTAGTTAAAGAATAGGATGATTATACACCAATGAGAATTTTACATATCTATGTTTTAGGGCAACATTGTACTATTATTAATGTACAGGATTCATATGAAATTGGGAAAGCTTGGATATGGTTAATGAATTTCACCAATTTCTCTTCTTTCTGCAAGAAGTTAATAGCAAAATTTGCCTAATTATATTTTTACAAAATTTTTATTTTAAATGATAACAGTTTAAGCTTATCTATCAGTTAATATTCAATCCTGAGGATGACTACCCAAACAGATTAAAACATTTGATTAATAAAATTTGTCTTGGAAGAAATTTAAATTGTCATAATTTATTTGATTCATCAGTTTAAGAGATTTCTATGATCTATTTTACTTTAAATGTATATTTATTTATTTGAATTCAGGGTTATTTTATTGTGTTTTACTTCACACTTATTTACATATTTTATTGTATTTGTTTCAAATCCAAAACTGTCAGAATATTAATTTTGAATTTGTTCCAATTTTATGTTATACTATTTTCTAAACCAGTGTTTCTCAACCTCTAATAAATCGTCGCTCCCTTCAATAAAACCGTTACATAGTATCGCCCCCTTCACTTCAAAATTCCGATGCCAAGGGCCAAGGCTAATGCCAAATTCACACTGCATTGAATAGACTCATGACTAGTATAATGTTATTTGTTTAACTATTGTACGATATAACGAATAAAATATCTAATTATTCTTAATATAATGTTTTACTATATCCTCCAGAAAATTGTTTTTTGCCCCCCCAAAATATAAATTGTTACTAATTGCCCCCTCAACATGGAAAAACGCCCACATGGGGGCAATATCGCCCCCGTTGAGAAACACTGTTCTAAACTGTTAATTCTAAGTATTTAATCTGAGGATTGTCAAATTTTGACTGAAGATTTTTCTTTTTATTAAGTTGGCAGCCCAAAATTATCAGAATTTATTTATTTCTTAGATATGTATGTAAACACAAATCAACACATTCCTTTCCAGCAGAACAATTTATTTCACAAATGTCTTTGGTTTTCTTGATAAGTATTTCTTCAAGTTACAACCATAACAAAAAGACTGTCCATTACAATACAAATTGAAAATGGAACATTTTCAAATTGAACAAATAAAATTCAACAGAAAAATTTATTTCAAACATATTTAAAAATTGAACACACTTCAATAAGAACATCTCTAATTTAAATATTCAAATAATATACAGGTATACAAATGTGCCCAGGAATTATGTAAGAATAAATATATACATACTCTATATGAAAAAAGTCAAAATTTGTGAAATAAATTGTTATGCTGGAAACGAAGGTATTGATTTGTGTTTACAATTTGCTTCTTGACTCTATTAAATGATTAAATGTACTAATACAGTAAAATATGCATTTATTGTAACTTTGAATATTATCAGAATTACCATGTCCAAAAACCTATAGATTAAAATAGACTGATTACAATAAACAAAGATTTTATAAGAGTTTCAGTTATAATTATCATTATATTCATGTAAATAGGCATTTAAGCTAACTTATTGCAACACCAATCTCGACAAATGGCAACATACAAGCCTTATCAGTCTTAACATGTGCTTCAAACAGTTTGCTCACAATACAGTAAATTGCTGGCATTTCTTACTTTAGTTAATGTAATGAAATAATTCACTGTTAAAGATGCATTGCTTAGGTTGGAAAAATGCTGAAATTTTTGACTATCCTCAGCAAAGACATTAATCCTCAGCAAAGCAGTTAATGGACTATCCTCAGCAAAGACAGGTAAAATGAAATTCCAGTTTATCTACTTATGATTTATTTGATTATTGATTACAACTTATACTTTTTATTTATTCATTTTTTTAATGATTGTAAAATATTAATGTAAAAATGTACCAGTACATTTGAATATGAGTAATATACCGGAACTGAAATTTAAAAATACATGATTTTGAATAAGCCTAGTTTCAGTTTTATTTCTAAATGTTACATATTCTGTAAGATTTTCAGTTCTTTAAGCTATATATCATGCTTCAAATTTTTATTACTATTGACCTGAATTCCTTGAAATAAAATTCTAAACATATCCATATTGACTGATAAAGATTCAATGCCAATTTAATATTTAAGAATTAATGTTAAGAAAATGTATTTCTTTTGTCAATATTAAAAAATTTTTTACATTTATTTGTTTTAATAATATTGTTATTCTCAAATTATCCTAAATATATTTGGCTGCTCTTTCTAATCAATTCTGTAAAATTATTTTAAAAAATTAAAAACTAAACACTTTGATTTTGTAAACATTTTTATTTGTTAAAAAGTAACTTCACTAAAAATACAAATTATATGCTGTTAAACATATAATTAATTATGATTTATACATTATATAAATCAAATTTAAAATTTATTTTTTTTAGATGTTTTAAATTTAAATATCATCAGATATTAATTTATAAAAACCAATAAATATAGTAAACTTAAGAAGCATTCCAATTATAATATTGGATTTTTAACATATCAATTAACTAATAAAATTCAAACATATTTTGCAAACAACTAAAACTTTTAAATTATTGAAAATTTACAAACAACAATATTAATTCATTTTGTTGATTTCAATTTTTTCTTGAAATACGATTCAGCATAGTGACCTCCAATTCCTTGAGAATGTTGGCCAATATAATTATTTTCTGGACTACATTCTGGCGATGGAAGTAATTTTAACTTTCGTTTACATCCACCTTGTATTGCTGTATCTGGAGACTTGTATGCAGTATGATTAGTTATAGTAGTAGGAACCTTTGAAATAGACAAAACTGGATAATAAATTCTCTTCTGAAATGGAAAAGATTGTTGCAGATTTACTAAATTGTTTGGTGACAATGATTTGTAAGTATTAAAGAAACCAGCAGAACCATTATAATTTTCTTTTGATACATTAAAATTGTTTAATCTGCATCTTTCTTGTTTAAATATTAAACTATTATTTTTGTTATTATTCATATCAGTATTTAGGAGTCTGTTCTGATTATAAAATGTATTTTGACCCAATACCTTATTCAAGTAATCATAATTTACATTATCAGGTTGGAAAAGATTCAATGTTGTTTGTGGTAGCGAATAGGTTTCCAAAGTTTTATATGGAGCAAACGAATTATTAAATTTTGCAGTTGTCTGTGGTTGAAGGAAAACTGGCTGTAAAATTTGTAATGGTTTTAAATTATTTTCATTGATATGGTTTCTTTGAAAAATTCTTTGATACAGATTACAAGATTCTTGTGATTTTATCTGTGGAAAAGTTGATACAGGAAATACAGGAATTGATAATAAAGGACTGCAAACTTTCTTCTTCTTTATATCGGCTATAAGCTTATCATGCAGTTTAATAGCAGGGATGGCTGGGCTAGCTAAAGATATTCTTATAACCTTGTTTTTCAATTCATAATTTTTCAATTTAAAACTAGTTATTTCTGCTTCTTTTGAAGTATTATATTCTATTAATCCAAAACCAACAGCTTGCCCGTTAATAAATGCTAATTGACAATATAATGGGTTTGCTTCACAACTAAAAATCTTTCTGAAATCACCCAAGTTACAGTAATTTAATGGAAGATTATCCACATATAGGCATTTTGAATACAGATCACTATATTTTAATATTCTGTGATCAAGCCAATCACAATGCAATATTCCACTTTTAATTTCTTTACCATGTATGAGATTACGAGCTTGACATGCTACAGCTCTGCTGCAATACTGGACCAAGCCATAACCTTTATTCTCATCAGTTTTATGATCGTATATCAAAAAATTATCAGTAACTGGACCAAATTTGTTGACCAATTCACTAAACTGACAATCTGTAAATGTTGATGGTAAATTTGATATACACAAAAAATCATCCTTTGTTGAATATTTAACATTAATACTTTGGTCTTTTATTTTTGCAGGAACCTCGTGATTACATAGAAGAGGATCAAAACTTTCTGGTTCACACAAAATTATTGTTGCCATTTGTGAAATCCGATTAATTTCGATCCTTTTTATAGAGAGAAAAAAAAGAGCATCTTTCAAATCATTTTCCTCGATTTCAGATACTATATTTGTAACTTTAATCGTTCTTCCTTCGTGGAATTTTTTAATGGAGCTTCTCCAATTCTCACGGAACTTCCCTTGCATAGAGTCTTTTTTATCTTCCATTTCCATTCAATAAGTCTCAAGATCAAGAGATGATCAATTCGAACAATCAAGAAATCCTTAAAATCGTACACTTTTTCGAATTAACCGCCCACTATACATAGGGATGACATCACATTACCCATGATTCCACAAAGTAACCATAAACATGGTTATTAACAGCTGCACGAATTTTACCTAGCTCATGAAGATTCGTAATTTACACGTTTGCTTCTAGTAATAATTTAAAAATCTTGGTATAATAATTTTATTTAATTCTGAAAATGTTTTAAAAAATTGTCGCAAATTATTCCTGTAATCGAGTAAAATTCCTAAATTTCTGTAAATATGGTTGTTAAACATCATTTTTATACGTTTATTAGCACACCCGAATATTTGTAGATAAATTATAAACAATATCTTACTTGATAATTCCCATTTCCTATAAATTCTTTCATAGGACAAACTTGCACTCACTTATGTCTTCGTTAATAGAAATCAGATGGCGCTTGCAGAACTTTGAGTTTAGTGTCCTAAATACTGTACAGTATTGTACTAATTTAACCTAAAATGTTTCTTTAGGACATATTCCTGTAGATATATGCTATTATTCTTATAGTTCACAAATATTTTTCAATTGAAAAATGTAAAATAAAAAACAAAAATAATTTTAAAACGTTTCTGATTTTAATTGGTGTATTTGATAAGGAATGATTAATTTGCTATGTCATTATTACTTATTTATTCATTTTTAAATTGTAACTTATTCCTTCAGACATTAAGGTCCGGGCCCACCAGCGGCCAAGCTATTCCATTCCATGCAGTGGCGTACCGTAGGGAGGGCGATAGGAGCGGTCCGCCCCGGGCGGCACTTTTTAGGAGGCGGCAAAATTTCACAATAAGTAATAATAATATCCTGTAAAATTTTGAAACATCCTAATCTATACTTGCATCGCGCCTACGATAGTGCTATCGTCCGGACAGTCCGGGAATCGGCTCGCCGGGTGAACAAGTAACTTTTTCATCCGAGGAGTTCCTGCGAACCCTGTTAACCTTTTTTTTACACTACTAATATCCAATAGAACTATTTTAAACAGGTCGCTACAGTGCCACAGAATTTTACATTGCTTGTTCTGTGACAAAACTGAATTTTGGTCTTTTAAATTGAAATACCTAACTAAGGGGCCGAACTTTTCCTCCGCCCCGGGCGGCTGACACCCACGGTATGCCATTGATTCCATGAACACTAGGAGTTCGATCGTGGGTTTGCGCCTCGCCAGGACGTGGAGTTTTCCGGGTTTTCTCTACGTCTGTAAAGCTCGAATAGGGGCCAGTTACTTTTAAAATGATCTCCCGGAAAGCATTTCCCCCTAGATCAGTGTTTCTCAACGGGGGCGATATCGCCCCCATGTGGGCGTTTTTCCATGTTGAAGGGGTGATTAGTAACATTTATATTTTGGGGGGCGAAAAACAATTTCATAATATTAAGAATAATTAGATATTTTATTCTTTATATCGTACAATAATTAAATAAATAATATTATACTAGTCACTAGTCTATTCAATGCAGTATGAATTTGGCGTTAGCCTTGGCCCTAGGCATCGGAATTTTGGTGTGAAGGGGGCGATACTACGTTGAAGGGGGCGATGATTCGTTAGAGGTTGAGAAACACTGCCCTAGATAGATCGCCTAAGTGTTGAGTTTCCGTAACTTAATTAAACCAGCAAACAAATATTAAGGTCCGGTGCATACATCTGGTTTTTAAAAGTACGGTGCCGCTGGAACGCAAACGCAAAAATATTAAATACACACTAAATTGCGAAATGACGGACAGAACGCTTTCTGCCATCATCAGAAATGGATGTATATCGAAGAAAACGTATAATTTTCGCTTATCTTGTATACAAAATATATACTGTACTGTATTTTGAAACAAAAGAGACGAGTTTGGATACATTCATTTACTGAATCTTTTATTAACTTTTAACATTATATAAGCCTTAATACAGTGTATATACATAATAAAGATTTTTAATATAAACTGTTTTTTTCAATTATTGTTTTAGTGTAACATAATCTATACACAAAAATCTATAATTTTGACATTTGGTGAACATATAACTACACGTTGGTTTGCGGCAAATTATTGGATGTTTGCAGTAATCAACGTACAACAAGATACTAAAAGGTCGGAGTTGCGTTTACAGCATCGTCAGAATCTACAGCACATATTGTACGCAAGATGGACGTGCGGCGACGTAACCTCGTTGGAGGTATGTATGCAGAACGCCATCCGGCTTATAGTATTGGTTAAAAACGTGTACACCGGCCTAAAAAGACAATTTTCACACCTCATGGAATCGAATAAATTCACTATGGAGACAATTGGATATGAAGAATCTAGAACGCTTAACAGCCCTGAAAAGAGGAGAAGACTTGCAGTAGCGACGGTGCCCAGTTCCTTATATGTGGTCCGGGAGCTTGTTTCTTAAATCTAACTTTTAACTTTCTCTCCGTTTCATCTACATAATTTTTCATACATGAATAATCAAATTTACATTTTATAATAAATACAAAATTATATATTACAACTTTATCTCGTTATAATATATCAATATAAGCGGCCGGATGGCAGCCTACCGCTCTGGGGGACCCGGGTTCGAATCCAAACGAGTCGAAAAATCCCCAGGAATTTTTCGGGGGGTGGTCCGTTCGGATATGTCGGACCCCGTCCCTCACTACCCGGCAGCCCCATTGTGGGCCTGGCCGAACCCATAATGGGCTTGCAAAAAGAGGTCCTCTTAGTGCCCACAGGGCGGAAAGAGTTTAAAAAAATAACCAACTTTACAACTGCGTATCTATCAAGTCTCACAATATGCCAATGAATTTCAAGGCTTTAGTTTTTTAAAACAATTCTCATGTGAGGCACCGGAAATAGCCCCCTCAAAAAGAAAGAAAGATATGTAAGAATTTGTTAAGTTAAACCTCAAGATATTAAATTATATAAGTGTCGAGTCGGCGACACAGGGCTTTGACGTCGACGCTCATAGAGAATAACAGGAAAAGCAAAATTTCAATTAAAGAAAATTAAAAAAAATAATTTTAAATATTAAGACGCAATTTAGAAAGCAAAATGAAACTAAAAAACATCAGAATGAGCGTGGGTGTCAGTCATCGATTAATTAAACGCGATCAGAGTCTAAAGCAGTTTCTCAACCTCTAACGAATCATCGCCCCCTTCAATAAGTTACGTAGTATCGCCCCCTTCACTTCAAAATTCCGATGCCGAGGGCCAAGACTAACGCCAAATTCGTACTTCATTGAATAGACTAGTGACTAGTATAATGTTATTTGTTTACTTATTGTACAACATAACGAATAAAATATCTAATTATTCTTAATATAATGTTTTACTATATCGCTCAGAAAATTATTTTTCACCCCCAAAGTATAAATTGTTACTAATCGCCCCCTCAACATGAAAAAACGCCCACATGGGGGCGATATCGCCCCCGTTGAGAAACACTGGTCTAAAGGAAGGTGTCGAATATACGATCTTTAGCCGACCTTTCCCACGACCGACACGGAGCTCCATTTACACCTGGAGACAGGTGGGGGACCAATTAGAAAGCGCAGAAGAAAAGTCAGTCCAATTAGCGACGATTCAGTCACAAAATCTTTGTATGTAATACATGGAAAATTTTTATCAACAGACATGCTAGAAAATTTGGCAAACACTTTATACAGTAGACCCCCTATAACGCTTAGATACGTTCCACTTTATAAGAATTTTACGTTGTAGGAATCCTTAAATACATGAGTCAATCACAACCCGACACGTGTGAAGTTTACGGACTAAGGCTGTTTGAAAGGTTTCTTCTATAAAATTAACCGATTCTAGACTAATTCGACTTAACATTTCCAAAACGTATAATTTTTTGGGAATAATCCGTATAAACTATGCTATAAATAAAAAATTGTAGGAGAACTTACCGAATGTGCACCGTTCGACTACGCCGTTTCTTACGCTTGTTTTCGTCGCGGAGCAGCGCACCAAACGGCGGCCGCGTTTTCTGATACGTTATTTTTCTGTGAAAACTTCGTTGAACTTTGGAGACATCATTAATATAAATAATTTTTATGGCCGTTGAATAAGAAATGTTTCTTTCACAAGAAATGTATAAAATTAGTGCTGTATTAGACTTACGGTACCTAATTTACATACTG